TTGGATTTTTTAGGTGAGACACAGTGTGCGCGGAACTGAGCCCACCCTTTAATCCTGAGGTTCATCTGCCGGGGCCAAGCACGCTTGGACGGTGGCAGCGAGGTCCTCAGGACGTAGATGGATTGCCTTACAGGGCTAACGAGCTCCATCTGCCCGGGGAGTGTCCTAACCGGGAATCGAACCCAGATCTCAGCGTTGACAACGCTGTGGTTTAGCCACTGCACCACCAGGGACATTTCTAACTGTTTATTCTATATGAAGATTTCTGCCAGCCAGGCAGAAAGGGACCTTGGAGTTTGGATTGACAGGAAGCTGAACATGAGCCAGTGTGCCCAGGTGGTCAAGAAGGCCGATGGCATCCTGGCCTGGCTCAGGAGGGGTGTGGCAGCAGGAGGGCAGTGATCCTTCCCCTGTTCTCAGCGCTGGTGAGGCCACACCTGGAGTGCTGTGTCCAGTTCTGGGCCCCTCAGCTCAGGAAGGACATGGAGGGGCTGGAGCAGGTCCAGAGAAGAGCAACGAGGCTGGGGAAGGGACTGGAGCACAAGTCCTATGAGGAGAGGCTGAGGGAGCTGGGGTTGTTTAACCTGGAGAAGAGAAGGCTCAGGGGTGACCTCATCGCTCTCTACAACTACCTGAGAGGAGGTTGTAGCCAGGTGGGAGTTGGTCTCTTTTCCCAGGGAGTAAGACAAGAGGGCCTGGTCTTGAGCTCTGCCAGGGGAGGTTTAGGTTGGATATTAGGAAGAAGTTCTTTACAGAGAGGGTAATCAGGCACTGAAATGGGCTGTCCAGGGAGGTGGTGGATTCTCTGTCCCTGGAGGTGTTTAAGAAGAGACTGGCTGTGGCACTGAGTGCCATGGTCTGGTAACTGTGGTGGTGTTGGATCGAGGGTTGGACTTGATGATCTCAGAGGTCCTTTCCAGCCCATCTGATTCTATGATTTGCTGACTAGACACTGTAGGAGACTTCATAAGTATAAAGATGTATTTCTCTCATGTTATTTGGGAGGTTTCCCAGAGATAAGTTGAACTGTTACTTTTGGCTGAAGCCACTCTGGGGGATCAAGTTACGCTGAAAGCATTTGTAGTTAATTGAACATATTGCACATGATTCAGTTTGTTGTTTCTGAGTCATTTAAAAGTTTTTTTTCCATCCAGGCATCATAGTTTTGTGCCATGTCTCTTTCTGGACTTAAAAAACCAGTTTTCCTCCAGTTTTCCTTGCCTTACCAATAAACAGTCACTGAAGTTAATTCTTGGTGTCCATTGTAGAATCACCCCTTCCCCTCATCTCAGGAGTTTTATCGTATTTGCTTGAATAATCACTCCAGATTGTTTATATTTGCTTATTTTTAAGGAAGTCATGTGCCATGTGTGTGCTGTCTGCATTATTGACATCTAATGGCAAACTGCTGTCATGATTAGCTCTTGGTCAGTGAGTGTTCAGTCACTTGGATCTTCCTCCAGTACAGTTTGGGAGAGAAACTTTGGCTGACCTGTGGTTCAGATTTTCTTAAACAGAGTGGATGAGTAAACCCAGAAAAAAAAATCCAGTTGTAGCACATAGTGAATTCCATGTATTTTAAACAAGTTTTCATAACAAAACTGTGTCCACTTTTCCTGGGGCAGAGAGAGAGGAACCCTGGGCGATGTGTTAAATCTCATTTCCATGCTGCTTTACTGCTTGAAGGAGTCAGAAACTGAAGGTCAGGGTAAAGAATCTTGACTAACACATTCTGCAAAACCTTAAATAAAAGATCTTAAAGCTTTTCTGCAGGCATTAAGCATTGTAATTTATGTGCTGCCATGTAGAAAGCAGTTATTTTTTTTTATGTTGTAGGATATACTAGTACTCCACCAAAGATTGCGGCCATAGGCTGTCACAGCAATTTTGCTGCAGACTGCTGAGAAATTTTGATGTAGGGGAAGTTTTATACCTCACTGTTCTCTTTGTTTTCATTGGTGTTGATTTTTCAGGCTTGTGAACTTATTTTGTGTAGCTGCATCCTGTATTTTTTTGATGTATGCTTATTATGCCCCTAATAAAATAAAAAAAATTAGTAAGTATGTTTTATGATTACTTTGCTTTTAATAGAACATTTGCTCCAGTTTCAGTGTAGGACAGTTCATAGCTGTTCGATGAAGCCCAGCCTGTTCTCTCTTTTGAACATTATATTTTTATGCATAATTTTTACTCTAATTTTTCCCCATTAATTCAGTGCTGAAAGGGAAGGTACGTTGACTGATATTTCTTTTAGTTTACAGACACTATACAAAAATTGTTTGCTGTGTTCCTTCGAGTTTTGGGTCACTGTTCTAGCTCTAAGATAATTAATAAAATTTTGTATTCAGTCATTTCGTTGGCCCAAATTAACCTTGTGAAGTTGATGTTTCCTTTTTTGCACCTGAAATATATATTAAAAATAAAAAAGGTTGAAAACGT